GACTATTTTTAGAGTCTCAGTTACCAAGTGCATAAATAGGCTTTCAAGACTACCAGTAAATCAGTTATATGAGATGTATTCATCTTATTTCGCTTGGGGTGCAATTCACATAGCTCCACACACATCGTTGTGGGAAAATTCAACTATCATTCCTCCATCACTTTAAATGAAATAGAGTGAATATATCTCATATAATTGGTTTACTGGTAGCCTCGAAAACCTACTTATGAACGAAAAATAAGTAGTGTAATCGATTATAATAACAAATATAACTGTGATTCAACGACAGTCCCACGACATAATGTGATTTGGGAAAATGCCTGGTCTTCCTTGAAATTCACGACTACCTGGTGGCAACGTGGCGTAGTGGTTACGTGTCGAGATTACACGCTGCTCTGTCATGGTTCGATTCCCGCTGGGTGTGTTGTTAAGGCCTAGGCGAGGTCAAAACTGCAGTCCACTTCAACGTGGATGAGAACACCTTTTGGAAAAGCAAGCTTCCTTGAGAGGCAAAGGAAACGACAACTCTGATCATATGATTGCGAGAAAATTCAACGAGCAGTCCTTCATTATCATTACCGCTGGTGTCAACTCTAGCATTTGCAAGCGATATTGTCCATTTTAAATGGCCTCTATCAACAAGCCCATGACCAAAGCCTCATTGGCCTCACCATCTAAAAGTTAGAAAAAGGTCTTCAGATAGTCTTTCAGGAACATTTTGCATATACTTTTAACTGGGTCGTTGGTTAAGTTTAGCTCATTTGCATAAAATACACTTCGATTTTCATAACATGAGTTGCGTTGTTTGGACAGTTAATAAAAACAAACCAATACATCATCGCATTGCACAAGAAGGCCAAACTGCCTTGGAAATCTTGGGATCCAGAAGAGAGTCAGGAAGCTAAAAAGTGAATGACGAAGAAGCGATTAAATTGTGGCATATTCAGGCCCTTGACTTTAGATACATCTGTGGACATCTGTATCACTCTGAAAGATTCAAGTCCGATGCACACTCAACTGCATTGACTTGACCGTTTGGTTTGAGATTTCATCGAAAAATATCACCGAGTTGGGGCATTCTATGCCTCGCCCTCAAATCTCCTGCCATAGACACAGCCCCCTAAAGACCCCCGTGACGAACCATAAAATAAACTGACGTAACTTCCTCTGCAATCACGGAGTAGACGCTAAGCTTGTTTGTTGCTTTGGTCGAGCAGTTAAGCCAAGATTGAATCTATTCTCAATAACTGGACTCACCTATTTCTATCAATTACTCTTGTTTTCACCTTTTAGACCTTTCATAAAAATGAGATCCACGCTAAACTGATGATAAATCTACTCGGTAACGAGGCAGAGGAGAGTGTGGAGAACGAAGGAGAACTTCCTGAACGCGAATTTTATGTCGTTATCAAGTCCGTGAAACCAGCAAAACCACGAGGCTTCCAGGCGTTGGCCAGCCGCCTTTCGAGAGTGCAGGAATTGAGGTCAGAGTTGGTAGAAATGTCCGATGTCAGCGACTCTAGCAGCAGCCTTACCGACTTGACGATCGGAGGAAACCGAGGCAATCTACCGGATCTGACTGAGTTTAACGAACTGGAAGCTGCCTCTGGTACGGAAGCAAATGTTGACAAGTTCGCCCCCGTGGAAAGTCAAGCTTCGGATGACAAAGCGGGCAAACTGACTGCCCAAATCGGCGAGCCGTCGATTATGAGGATCCGTTTGGTTCACAGTCAAGGTATGGATTACATCGTTCCTACACAACTTCACTATCAAAGCCAATTATAAAGGGGAAATTAATGAAATTAAATTTTGAAAAGGCGAAAATTAGTGCCAAAAACTAAAATACTTGTTATACGAGATATTTTCACCCTACTTTGCTTGAAGTAATGAAGCACTGGTAGTTGGATTTTCCCATTGAATTCTAATCATATCAAAACTGCGATCCACCCTGGATGACAATAACTCGTTGAAAGTAATGTAGCATGAAATTAATTATAAACGTAAGGTCTACTCATTTTATTGTGAGAAAATTCAATTAACAGCCTTGCATCACTTTAAGTGAAATATGTTGAAAACATCTCGTATATTTGATTTACTAAAATACTAAAAACAAGAGTACAGAAAAACTGGGTTTCGAAGAATCCTTTAATGGATTGATGTTGTAGTACCTTTCATTTTTAATTTGAAGAGGCGAGTGGAAGGGATTCGTAAGTTGGTTCCACCGGAGGCTGTGGATGAGTTGCCTTGGAGCTACAACCACAGGTATGACCTTTACAAACTCTGGAAGAGCATCCAGAGATAATATAAGGAATAGAGCTGAGTGTAGCTTCCATTACTAGACTTATTAACCTATGCATGAGTAGCACATATTTTATCTTTCATGATAAATGATACGAACAAACGCAGGGATTAGCGACGGGAGCTTCCCTGGCTCCCATCTTAGCGAATAATTATATGGTTGGTTAGATACATGCATTAATATTTTGTCATCTGGCCTCATGGTAAGGACAATTTAGATAGTTTCCTACTTTCATTCAACCAGCGTGAAAGGAACATTAGGTTGACAATGGAAATGGAAGAGATGGCTGGATGCCCTCATCGTTAGAGACATGGACTTGCTCTGCCATAAGTTACTCTTAGCCAGGGTTGACTGCTGTTTCGACCTCGTTTAGGTCTTATCAACACCTCCGGCGAGACTCGAGCCATGAGAGTGCAGCGTAAAATGACGACAAGTCAATCACTACGCAACATTGCCACGAGTGCCCTCGGGTCACGGGGCAGATGCGAATTTCAAGGAAAGCCAGGCATGTTCCCATATCATATTCTGTCATTCGAGTGTAGAGAAAGCAAAGATATATATTTGCTACAACAATCGCCTGCATTACTTATTTTTCTTTTATCATCGCATATCTCGGAGTTATTAGTATTCTCGAAACCGTAATTGTAAATTAAGCATACCTTTAGCCATGCTCAATGACATGTTGAGACCAACTCATAATAATGTGGGATTAAGTTCACTTTCAATATTAAAATCATCTGAAGTGACTCAGCCAAACTAACTTCGTATTTCATAAAAAGTAGGTTTTGGACTGTCGGCAACTCATGAATCGGAGTTCCAGTCAGAC